AGTTATGCTATGTGTTATCACAGTGAGGACCAGTGGACTAGACATGTTAGTTTCTATTGCTGCAGTGGATGTTATGAAATGAGAAGTGAAAATTGCTTTATTCAGCTTCAACAAGTTTAGCAGCTTTATGCATCCTGATGATGAAGTGACCTGTAGAGGTGCTTACCGGGGAACTAACTGAAAGGTCACCTTCAAAAGAAAAAGAAATCACTTTTTATAATCTGAACCGCTTTAATCTGTCTTTGGTTGCAATCAGCTTAGTGATGGGCATTGCTGTGCTAAAATGAATTCAGATGTAAAAGTAATTGGTGATAGTTGGATGGAAAGTGTATATAGATTGTATACAAGTAAAGGGTTCTACTTTTGTGCCTGAAGTCTTCTGAAGGGGACCAGTCCCATGTTTTCAACGTTGAAATAATCACTAAGTGCTGAATTAACCAAATATAATAGCTCTTGTTCCATCATGTGTACAGACGTTCCAAACAACTAGCAACAAGGTCAGACAGTTTGTTAGAAAATGATTGTCATGCTTAAGGTTACGCATTTAGATTCCACTGCATGATCGGCAGAGTTCAAACTACATCAGAAGCATATTTGAAAATAATTGCAAGATGTTCGGACTCATTACAGAGGTAATTGGAAAAATTACAAGAAATTAGGGACAAAATATGAACCCTTTCCTGTCCAAACCTGTCATTAAAATAATCAATCTTAAAATGAAGTTTTCCGCTCAATATTGTTCTGTGTCCGACATGCTATTGTCAGTTGATAGGAAAGTAGTGTGTAATCTCCTATCAAGGTATGCCATCAAATCCTTCATCGATTTAATAAATACTGCCATTCTCTATATAGAAATCAATCTGAAAATGTCCCGTACATTCGTCTTTAATAGGGATTCTCCAAGTCCTCCATGTTTAGTAATGAGTCGCCATGGCAATGGCAAATTTAGTCAAATATATGGATTAAAGTTTTCGCCAAAAATTCTAAATGTTGGTTTAGATAAATTGAGTACGAATGGGTCGCATGCAGGTCCTGTTAAGTAGGGCTTTTAGTGTGATTATTTTCTTGTCAAGGCATGGGAAGCCTAAAACTCAAGCATTCTCCATCTTGTGCCATGGAGTGGCGTTTGTGATGAGCTGTATTGAGTAAACAGATGTGTGTTTCCAAGGGTAATTAGCCATCAGATTAAACACCAACATTATCTGTGAAATATAAACAAAGACAAAATCATTTAATGATGCTCGTATTCTGTTATTTACTATGCAGTTTGACAGAGCCTTCAGTATTTACTGAAAAGGTGAAATATCCTGCTGGAATATTTTCAGTGACAAGTAGTAAGTGGGTACTTGTAGGAATTAGAAAAAGGACAGTTTTAGTTTTCTGTGAACTACGGAATCCTTTGAAATAATGAGATGCTCCAACATCCAATATCTTCCTTCATCTTTCCACCCTCCCACAGCTTCCCACCCCCTCCCACCCCCTCCCACAGGTTCCCACAACTCCCACAGCTCCCAACCCCTTCCCTCATCTTCCCACCCCTCCCCACCCTTTCCCACATCTTCCCACAACTCCCACAGCTTCCAACCCCTTCCCTCATCTTCCCACCCCTCCCCACCCTTTCCCACCCTCCCACAGCTCCCCACCCCTTCCCACATCTTCCCACCCTCCCACAGCTTCCTACCCCCTCCCACAGGTTCCCACAACTCCCACAACTCCCACAGCTCCCAACCCCTTCCCTCATCTTCCCACCCCTCCCCACCCTTTCCCACATCTTCCCACCCTCCCACAGCTCCCCACCCCTTCCCTCATCTTCCCACCCTCCCACATCTTCCCACAACTCCCACAACTCCGACAGCTCCCAACCCCTTCCCTCATCTTCCCACCCCTCCCCACCCTTTCCCACATCTTCCCACCCTTTCCCACATCTTCCCACCCTCCCACAGCTCCCCACCCCTTCCCTCATCTTCCCACCCTCCCACATCTTCCCACAACTCCCACAGCTCCCAACCCCTTCCCTCATCTTTCCACCCTCCCACATCTTCATCCAACAACATAATACTTCAGAACGCTTTTGCAGAAAGTACATATTTGGTGAATAAAAGATTAGAATGGGTTTATCAGCTCAATCTATTCTATTTGAGTACCTCAGCTTTCCTATCACCAATATTCAAAGAGACAATCAAATCTAAATTCAACTCCCTCTTCAAGGAAACTCTTCAAGATGTAAATGCAACAAGAGGCACAGGAAACAAACTTAGGACACACAGGATAGTTAAAAATGAAATAAAATTAGAACCCTATCTCCGTCACTGTAAACTAACAAAATATTGAGCACTTTTCTAAACTAAGATTAAGTAACCATAAATTAAATATTGAACTTGGAAGACATACAAAGCCACCACCCCACTACATCAGAGGCTATGCTCTTCATGTTCAACCATCGATGACAAAAGACACTACTTACTTCACTGTATTAAACTCACTCAAGAAAGAAATATACTCTTTGGAAAATTATCCACACAAAAATGTAAATGTAAATGTCCACAGTCATGAAAACAAATTATTTCACTACATCCTGTCAAATAATAAAGCCGTCAACATCAACTGCATTTGTTACCATGTGGTGTGGTTTCCATAATCAACCGTTGACATTTTATGGATCATAATATCATCAAATATGTAATATTGATTGGGTTTTTGTGTCTACAGGAATGTAAATTATGTATGTCTGTATATATGTATATATGAATTAGAACGTTTTGTCTTTTAAAAGCACATCTGTCCCGTAATGGAACGTTTCTGCAATAACTACTATCTTATCTTCCCACCCGCCCACATCTTCCCACCCCTCCAACAGCTCCCCACTCCCACACATTTAGGGTTACACGTTTTCCAGTGGTCAAAGATACCGCACCTTGCTATGAAGAGTTGTGGCCCTTAGTAGCCAGGGCTGCTATTGTGTGCTTGAATTCCAGACTTCTCTGATGATGATGCCTGGAGTCGATGGGTTACCCAGTGTAAACATCTACAGCCTACATCACACGGCACGTGGGGCCTCCCTCCCACCCCGGGCTAACTCAATAGTCCACCTCGAGGTCAAGGCGAGGGGCTGTTATTCGTATCTGTCACAACAAGAAAAGTCTAAAGAGCCCAAACAAGATGGAGCAATAAATTCAAGAAGCAATTCACAAAGCAGCATCAGACGCCTATCACTGACTCAATCCCTGAAACACTACAATATGGTAGAAACGCTGGCTGGTTTCAAGTGGAACACCTTTACTTGATTGCCCAGACACCATCGTGTGCACACAGGTGCTAAGATGATCAATAAAGCAAGTGAGAGAAGGAAACGTGATACCAAACTTCAGTAAATTAGTAATGCAGAATGGTGAAATTCTATAACATGTTAGATGATTACTTAGTCCCCTGGTCATTGATTAAAATTCATCTACATCAGATCTACCCAACATGCAACACTAAGGATAGACCCTTGTAGCTTGGAGCAGGGATCTGTTCTGAAGGTTAATTATTAAGAAACTTACTTTTACTTTCCACAATCTGGTTGTCTTTGGATGGACACCTGCTTTAGCAGTTGTCAGTCAGGCCATGTCTGTCAAATCATGAAAAATGGAGCTTATTTGGGTTGAGATGTGGTAAATTATTGATAGGAAACTCCCCTCAGTCACATCTGTTTATTATACAGAATTAGAGTGATGAATATTTGACTAGACCTGTTAAGCTGCCAGGGCTATTAACTGGCTAAATTAAGTCACTGGGCCTGCCTTCATAACTTGCAGTGCATTGATGCAAGACTCGGCAACAAGCATTTTGCTGTCGTATAGTTGACGTTAGGAAGAAGAGCTTTCTTCCCCTGGGTTTCCTGCAGATGCTTATCACAGCATGGTTACCAGACGGAGGTTTTTTATATCGCACAAAAAGAGTTGAGTGATGTCAAGGATGACATTGTGAAAATACATTTATTATCATGAATTAATGTGAGGGTAACAATGTGTCTGAATATTATATGTAAAAGTCACATTATTAACTAAGTTCCAATAGGGTAAAAGAGGATTTTGATTATTGCAAACTCTTATATTTATCAGTTTCAAATTGAGGTCAGAACCTGAAGTGAAGCAAAGCATTCAGAAGCAACACATAATAGCTTTTGTTCCGATGTCCTGACTTGCATTGCCGGGTTAACTGACCTACTTCTGACATAGACAGGAACACCACTCTGTTGTTGGTGTCAGTAGTAATCCTACTTCTGACATAGACAGGAACACCACTCTGTTGTTGGTGTCAGTAGTAATCCTACTTCTGACATAGACAGGAACACCACTCTGTTGTTGGTGTCAGTAGTAATCCTACTTCTGACATAGACAGGAACACCACTCTGTTGTTGGTGTCAGTAGTAATCCTACTTCTAACATAGACAGGAACACCACTCTGTTGTTGGTGTCAGTAGTAATCCTACTTCTGACATAGACAGGAACACCACTCTGTTGTTGGTGTCAATAGTAAACATTTACGCCAGGGAATAACCAGTCTTGATTATCTGCAAAAATAGATTGGGTGTTAAGGGGGAAAAAGTGGTGAAAACTATGTGAAGGGACTGCTGAGAATCACTAAAGACACCTGGTGTCACCCTTATGTTCACTATTCAATGGAGTCCAAGAGACCACAATAACTGATGTCCCATCGCTGTGCAGAGCCATGTGCCTTAGCCAGGATGAGGTCAATGTGGGGTCACATCCTTGATTCATCCTGGTTATAATCCTTGGTTTGTAGCCAGTGCATGTGCTCCTGGATTTCACAGTTAATCTACACAGTTTAGCTGTCAAGCTAAGATAAGACTGACATACTGTTAAAAACAGTTTTAAACTCAGTTCACTCACTCACTCACTCACTCACTCACTCACTCACTCACTCACTCACCCAAGCCACGCTCACTCACTCATGTCTGAGGTAAAATTTGTAACACTTTATTTTTCTCTTTACAGGAATACTTCAAATGCCCATACGAAGAAAAATGTAAGATGGACGTGTCGAATCGGAGATTCTGTAAAAGATGTCGTTTACGAAAATGTTTTGAAATTGGCATGAGGAAGGAGTACATCTTGACAGAGGAAGAAAAGATGAGAAAACGGGCCAGGATTGAAGAAAACAGGTATTCACGGTAAAATCTTTAACAGCTTGGAAAACAAGTTTATACTTTTGTTTTGTTTTGGTTATGGTTGTTAAATGCTTCTGTCTGTTTATAAGTTCAAAAATGTTTTAGAGCTTTTTTATCACATTTTTTATATATATTTGTTAAATCAATATTGTAAGACTTGTATGTGGAACACTAGGGTTCTGAAACTGTTGTTTTTGCAAATCACGAGTCACATATTTTGTATTATTGAAATGTTATATGAAATATTTCTGGTTTTGTCATACATGTTTATTAATGAGATATGCTATATATATTTCAGGGATAATTCTGGGATGGGCCATGGTCAATTTGCCAAAAAAATGTAAGACTTACACTGAATCTGATTATATTTTGGATGGGTCCCCTATTTGCGCAGTTCAAAATATGACATTTCTTCCACCAAGGGGGAAATTTCTTGATTGTAGCACCTCAGCAGTTTTGGGTAATGGCCGTACACCTTTCTCAAATGGCAACCGTTTTGGTCAATTTTACACAGTCTTACATTGACAGTGGCCCATGTGTATAATCAGCTGTTCTAAGATCAAATGTGACTCTGATTCAAGCAATATTTGGAACCCAAGTGTTGCATGCTGTTATGTTGAAAAGAAATACCAGTCAGATGTGTCCTGAGACATCATACAATATTTCCAGAATGAAAACAATTAAGGTTGTCCAGATGCAATGAATGAATACTTAATGGTTTTATTGGTTAATGGATGTCTAGGTCTTATGAACATGGTTAGGTCCATCCAATATTCATTCTATGACATCAGTCTTGTCCAGTAATGTCCAATATTCATCCAAGATGGTAGAGAAACCATCATTTGTCAGGAATGTTCCTTTTGTAAGTATTTGAATTGATTGCCCGTTCATTGCTTCTCGTTTATATACTTAACAGAAAGTCACGTGAAGTGGAGCGCACAAAGACACAGTCAGGTGACGTGTCTTCATCTCAGCATCGGCTACGCCCCTTGGAAGCAGAAGAGATGGTCCACATCAATGAGTTGGTAGGCGCCTACCGGCAGTCGCTGGAAATATGCGTGGAGTCAGAAATTTCGCGTGATAAACCGTCCATGACTGATCTGGTCAACATCGCTGAAGTGAGCGTCCGTCGTGTCATCGACATGGCAAAGAAGATCAAGTCCTTCAAGGCACTGTCTCAACCAGATCAGATCAGTTTACTAAAGGGAGGCAGTATAGAGTTGTTGATCATACGATCTGTCATCACATTTGACAAAGACAAGGGTCATTTCCTGGATCCCTTTGATAAGGACAAATATGCTATGACCACTGAGCAGCTCAAAATGGGTGAGGGTGGCGGCCTTTTTGATGAACATATGAAATTTGTGAAATCTTTAGCCATGGATTTACATGCTGATGAGACTATTCTCATTCTTCTATTGGTCATCGCTCTCTTCTCACCTGACCGGCCAAACATTAGTGATAAGAATTATGTCGCCCAGGAACAGGATAAGTATGCACTATTGCTACAACGCTATCTTGAGTCAAAGTTCTCTTGCCATGTTGTTCGCTGCCTCTATCCCAAACTGCTCATGAAGCTGACAGACATTCGTAATTTGAATGAAGAACATTCACAGGTGCTTCTGAAGGTGAACCCAGAAGGCATTCAGCCTCTGATGAAGGAAGTGCTGGATCTAAACCTCACCAAGGACGGCCAGAAGGTGGTTGTTCCCGTTCCTCAGATCTAGACAAGACTTCCAGAATGAGAATAATGAACCTGTTGTTTCTCAGCTCCTCACAGAGCATGTTGGCTGCTTAAAATGGACAATTTGGCAAGACCGTGGTGGTCCAAAGGTCTGCCAGATGCCCGCCAGCTTGGAATGAAGTCAGACCTGATTTCAAACTGGTCCATTTCTGCAGGGAGAGTCTGAAGGCTCTCTGAGCCCTTGCTAAGGACATAATTACCTTCGTGAAAGATGTGGACATTGACCTTACTCAAACTCGTACATCCTTATGACTAAGAAGCTGCCTGAGTTTTTGCCAGTTTTGAATGGAGTATTTGTCTGTGGTACCATGTGTACATATCATTCTGTGTACAAGGCACACTAAACAACAGTACGGCAATAGTCATGTGTATTAGCCATACTATCTGTACAGACATTGAACATAATTTTTTTTTTGCTTATTTTTTTCCATATTGTTATAATCACCAATGTACTCAAATTGTACAGAGAAACTTAAGTAGCAATGGCCGAAACTGCCTACCATCCCAGGTAGGCATGAATGGCAAGGAAATGCTGGAATCGGCTGCCGTGACAGATGAGAAGGCCTGGGAGGACAGGCTTCACAGACGCAGCAGGGTAGGCCGATGTTCCCTGGAAGAAGGACATGGACCGTATGAAAAGATGTTGATCAGTTGTGCATGGTTAGTTTGATGTAGCATTCAGACTTGCTCAAAAGAACAGATACACCTTCCAATAGTGCTAGTAGGGACGAAAATTGTAGACTGAAACTGAAAAGTGCTTTTAAGAAATCTATCAAACAGTTTGGAACAATTTTGGTGCTCTCTCAACCCATACCATCGTGTCATGTGATGTCCAGCACCACTGAGTTCAGGCCCCAGTAGAATCTGCCTGGTATCTGCTGCTGATTACAAGATGAATGGATCTGCAAGTGTTGATCTCTGTGCTTGCATCAAAAGTTCAAGATTCCGATCCAACAGACTGGCCGGCCATTTGCGGACAGGTACAATCAAACAGTGAAAGAAGTGTCAAGCAGTATCCAAAGAATCAGATAAACAAAGAATTGATGGAAAGGAACTGGATTGGGCAACAATGCATATAAAATGTAAACAGGACTGATTTGCATTGACAAAGCATGGTACCATCTTAAATATGCTTAGCCTACAGTTGCAAACCACTGAGCAAAGTAACTGTTGTGTTTCATCTGGGAGGGACATCAACATCATGTCTCGGTTTAGTAAGATGCCAGACTACCTAGCTGATGTCGTTGGTCAAGGTCAAGGTCACTGCACTACCTGCCAATACTGTCTCAAACAGACAGTGTTTAGTACCAAAAAAATGTGACAATCTGGCTACATAAGGGCAAATATACGAAATGGTTCTAGTTCTAGATAATGAACAAACATTAAGCTGAATATTCAGGACTGGTGCTTGTGTTCAAGCTGTTGAGAGAACTTCAGCCAGCAGAATTATGACGATTCCAGCCAATCAGCAAACAGCAGAGAGTTGAGTACCTCTTCCAAACGTCCCAAGTTGTCTCAATCTTGCCACCCTCTGCACCACTGCAGCTGCTGGTTTCCTTGGCAACGTAGAACATGTGACTTGTTACTGTGGCAACAAAGATCATGTGACTGTTAAGTGTAATGCTCTTCTATGTGGTGTGGCCATGACCGGTGAAACTTGTTTTCAAACATCACAGCTAGCGAGACTAGCCCAAGTATTCTCTTACTTTCACTCTATTGCATGCTAGGATTAATTGCTATACCTTGAATATTATTCATTTTCCCCATTGATGAATACTAAACTAAGAAAGGCGAAAGCTTTCATGAAAATAGTATAGTCTTTGAGTGAGAATGCCTGTTTTAATTGTTATGGTTTAGATTTATACTTAAATTGTGAAACATATAGATTATTTTAGCCTGTGTCTCAGTAGATTGTGAGATTACAGGAACAATGTTGATTCATCCTTAAACAATCACAAAACATCATTGTAAAATTCACAAACATTGATACATTTTTGTTTTAAGGTAGAAATTATGTTATTGAATTGATTGATTCTGAAACAGGAAATACATGAATTTGCCAAACAGTTATTTTGTTTCCACTAAATGGCATTTATACTTTGTTAATCTGTTCACATGACACTAAAGGGTTAAGAGGATAACTGCTGTTAAAGGGGTTTCCAGATGGGAATCCCCCTTGCTTTGCTGTATCTTTTCCTTAAGATATATTTCTCCACAAATAGGTAATATTTTATTGGTATCAATCTAAATAATGATGTTTCAAAGGTTAGATTGTTGCACTACAGAAATGTAAAATATTTTATGAATGAATATGAATTTTACTGTCATAATTGTACTTTTAGAACATGAAATATTTGAAAATGAATTCTATTTTACTTTTATAAATTCACATTTTCTGAAATAAGATGTTGGTCAATATTTGTGGACAGATATATGTATTAGTTTTGCTGTACAAATGAGCTTTAATTTCTAGTAGGGTTTTCCCTGCACTATTTCAGGCCTAAGTGCTACCATTACTATGTTAGACCATTTGTTATGATGGTACATTCATCTGTGTATTAACATTTTCGTTATGTTGTACTGTGTTATTGATTCATCTTAAAGATTGATTGACGATCAATCAGCAGAGCTGCGTTCTTGGGTAGGAATAATCAATGAAGAATGGGAGAGTGAGGAATAGGCCAGTTTAAAGGAATAATGCAAATCATCTATTCTAACCTCCACACCGTGGTTTTGTCTCAGGAACAGGTATTAATAGTGACAAGGGATAGAGTTAATGAAACATTTCAAATTGTTAATTCTTCAATGAATACCCTACTCTCGGTTTCTTTTTTCACTTTACAAACTTATTGAACTATTTGCTTAAATAATAAATTACATGTGGTTCTTCACAGGAAAAGTAAACAGGATGATTGGATATTTTTCTTAATGTTTCATGTAGGTAAATAAATTAGAGACTGTTCAAAGGAAGTGTTCGCATGATACAAAAATATTAACCTTTTTTGAGATAGTTGAGTGTGAATTATTGAGCAGTTGACTTTGAAGAAAGCCAGTAAAGTAATGTATTTGTGTGGTAAAGTGCTACTTAGAAGCGAAATAACACTGGTGAAATTGCATGTAGGTTCTTTGTACTCAGCTGTGGATTCCTATCCAATGTATTTTTGAATTGGGGAAGTCTGAGATCTTGTAAAAAGTAAAGATGGATGTAAAGATATTTTGATTAAATATGTGACATGTCATTCATGAGATTTTAATTAATGTTTTAATTCACCTAAACTTGGAGGTCTCTCGCCTGTGCACCACTTCATTGTATGTTTGTAAAACATCAGTGAAGTTTTTGTCAGTTTTAAAAATTCAGTTTCAGTAAAGTTTTATTTGTTGGTCTTGGCTGAAGAAAGGAGTCCTGGAAGCATAATCTCGTCTTAAAGAACATAACATTTTGATAAAAGTTAAAAGTATATCATGATAGTTAAGTAGGAAGTATTTACATTTTGAATTGGCTTGTAATGGAATTGTAAATAAGTAATGGTGGCAGCATATTGATTTTAGAAGAAAATAAAGACAAATGTGGTATGAAAAGAACGATATCATTTAGATATGGTAGAAACGTTTTAGGAAGAAAATATATTTCTGTAACTTTCAAGAGATGTCCTCAAATGAATAAAAGATCGTCCCGTTTTGAATCAGGTAAGACAATGTGATAGAGCGAATGATGTGACCTGTGACCTTAGGTATGTCATGTGATATGTATGGTTGGGTATGTACTAAATACCTCATATCTTACATATAGGCTGATGGCTCACTGCAGGCCTGTGTGTATAGTATTAAGGTTGCTGAGTGTATGTTAATCAGTTAATATTTACATAATTTATGCTTTTGGTAAATGCCTTCAATATTTCCATACATCCTCACTGCTTCTGTTTAGGGTAAGGACGACATGAAGTTGCTGAAACACAAAGCAAATCTGAGTATTATAATCCGTCTTAAGAATTTTTGTCATGCTAGACAAAATTCTATGTATCTGGCAGCAGGTAGGAAACGATTCTCTCTGCGCCTTTGTATCAATCCTGGAGGATACCATGTAGGAGGTTTACAGTTTGCTTACAGTTTTATCATGAAAAATTACTTCATAAATTTATTCAAAAATGTTATTTACATATATCTTTTAGACATACATTTCAGTTTTAGTTGAGAAAGATCATTTTATGCTTACATTTTACCTATACTCTGAAACATTTCTATGATGTCTGTGCCATATTTGTGTGTTTGTCTGTAGTTGTTTGATTGTCTATGCAAGCTTTTCTGTCCTAGTAGGAATTTCCTTGTATATAACTGTTAAAAACCTATTCCGTTCATATTAGAAGTATCTTATGTGAGGTTTTTTCACAAAGGAACTATGCATATCTGTCTATGAATTGTCCTGGCTGATAAGGGAGAACAATAGCAATAATAATTGTTCACAACAGCTCTGTGTATTGTTATTGCTTATCTCAATAAATGCTTATGGGATTGTCTCAAAACTTCTTCGTTTTCAAAGTTGGTTACAATTAACAATAAGAGGGACCTCTGAAACCCTGGTGTGTAGAGGTCAGCCAAGAGAACTTTTTCTCTGAATACATCTGTCAAATTTCCTGATAATAAGTCATTTTTCATTTTTGGGGAAACAAGCTGAGATTCTTTGAGACATCCCCCAAACTATTATTCTTCTATTAGAGATGTGTTTATTTTCAAGTTCATGTCTGTGTCATGACCATTTCATTACACTGTTCTTTTTTCAGTTGTTGGATTACTTGTTATAAATGGCATATACCTAGACCTTGGACATTTATGTGAATGCACAAAACAGTGTCACGTTATAGTCTAGATAGTTGATAAGATTCCAGTGGTTTACAGACATTTTGAGAAGGCAGCATTTAGAATTAAAAGAGAGGGACAAAAAACATCTCCCTGCTATCTCCCTGTATTTCAAATCTAGACTTTGAAGTATGGAGTAGAACAGAATTTATTATTGTCTTTAAAACTGTTTGCAGTTTAGTCAATGATGCCTGTATGATAGTTTGTTTTTCATTGTCTTATTGTTTTCACTTTGCCTTCACATAAGATGTTACTCTCGTGTAAATTGGTTGACTTGGTGCAGATATTAAAGTGGACATTGTGTTGAACCATGTCAGATTGGTTAATAATTACCAATATGACTTGTCAGAAGTTGAAAGTATGGTGAAAGATTCGTCACAGCCTCTTCCTGTATGTAAAGAGAATTTTGATTGGTTGAAATCAAATTAGTGTGACGAGGGAATGTCATGATTATAAATACATACATACAAGGTTTTGGAGGAAAATAAACAGACTATTCCTACCCAAATTGTTATCTGTTATTCATTCATTATTCATGTGATAACAATCCATATCATACCTACTACATGAGTGAATGAGTTGAGCAATTTGAACAGTATTTCAGTCTCATTGATTGCATTTTCACATGGTGTTGGGGTAGCCTTGTGGTTAATGCATTCACTCATCACATCAAACGCCCATGTTCGATAGGTACAATGTGTGGAGCCCATTTCTCGTATCACCCACGTTATTGCTGAAATATTGCTAAGAGCAAGGGTACTATATACTCACTCACTAGAAAATAGGGAATGGGTTCTTTTGAAAACCAGATGCAACCAGTTACACAACCAACACCCCCACAACATCAAAGTGTTATAATTTGGTAATTTGACAGTGTTGCTTAGACAAGGCTATATGAGGGAGTCTACTGGTGACTCCTTTGCCTGCTGTGCCCACAACCTGTGACAGTTGATACAGTGCATGATTCCCACAGTGTCAAGGAGACATGTAGGATCCGAATGGGTAAACTAACCCAGGACCAGCTTAAATCGCACACTTGACTGAAAATTGGGTCAAAGTTGGGTTGACGAAGGAATTCTTGTCACGTGGGACACATTGAAATATGTGGACCATTTTTCTTTCAAACATTTCAAAAGATTGAAATTTCGATGATATGTGTTGGAAGTATGTAGGATAATTACATGGCTCACACATGTTGTTGCATGATGCAGCACATCTCATTAATTCAGTGCGTGGCATGTTTGAAACGATTTTCACAGAGTGTGGCTTGTAACAAAACCAACGTATCCATGCGATAAAATTCATTCCATAATTATAAGAAATCTCTGCTGAGAGCACGGTCGATGGTATGATTCCGATTTCGTCAAATAGTGATGATACCAGGTGTTCGTCAGCATGGTCAGCATGTCCTGCCCCAACGGTGGCACTCGTCAAAAACACGTGCAGAGGCAAGTCAGTTTTGCCCCTCCACCAAGAAATAAAGAAACATAAGTCAAAAAAGAGAATTGCATCGAACATCAAGTTGTGTTATCAAGGTTACAACATTCAAGGTGGTAGTAAAGCTTTCTAAAAGTTATATAGAAGACATGTGGATGACATGTCTAAATCTGACGCATCAGTGACATAAATGATGGCCGATGGAATTCCCTATTTTGTCTTGTGCCATATGTTCCGGTGTTTTTTGGGTGAACAATTGATTTGCTTTTGCACGTGGTATCCACACTATTTGATAGTGATTCATAAACTCATCCTTCTGATATGGTTGGAATCGGACAATGTACTGTGGTTTCTGCAGATATCTCTTATGAACATAGAATGGTTTTGTCGCTTCTGTTCACACCATAATTTCGTTAGCATTCTTCGAACAACTACTCGCAAGGTAAATGATTCCAGGGTTACGGCACAGGTTTGTAGACGCGGAAGCCATCGCGCACATCGCCGTTAACGGGCAAGAAGCTTGAGATGGATGTACCTTATTGTGGATGGTTTGTGCAATTTATTTCAATGTGTTGTGTTAAGACATTTAGAAGAAAGTGACTCCAACCGAGGTGGCGTGTATTCTCATGCTACATTTAGACAAGCTACTCAACGTCTCAACATGTGGTTTCGGTACTGTTTCAGCAGGGACTCTCACAGGGATCTGGCTGTAGAGCCCCTCTATTTAATTGGCCCAAACGGACCCAAATTAACGAGGACAGCCCCACGCCAAATTGACAAAAACTGCTCAGCTCCAACGACACAGAGACAGACTTCTCATGCATTTCGATTGTAGTAATCCACGGGTTAAAAGAAATTTGTTTTTTTATTTATAGGGGAGCTAGGTCTGTGAATTGGGAGCACCAGCAAGAATGATGTTCAAACTCCACTTGTTAGATTGCTAAATCAAATTTCATGGTGTAGAGCATTTTAGCAATTGAGTAACAGTGGACAAATAACAACAACCTCGGCTGGTATTAGGCTAAATGTCTCACGTGGAATATGGTCCCTCTTTTACATGAAAACCACATGCAGCAATTTCGTATTTTAGTACAGTGATACCTCTTTAGTACGGACCTCGTCAATTAGGAAAGCCCACGTACCGGATGATTAGTGCTGGGTATTATACACGTTTTCAACGCGATATTACTCCACACCCACGTATTTGTTTGTTTGTTGTTTAACGCCACACTCACCAATATTCCAGCTATATGACGGCGGTCTGTAAATAATCGAGTCTGGACCAGACAAACCAGTGATTGATATCATAAGCATCGATCCACGCAAATGGATGACATACATCAACCAAGTCAGCGAACCTGACCACTCGATCCCGTTAGTCGCCTTTTACGACAAGAATGGGTTGCTAAAGACCTATTCTACCCTGGATCTTCGCGGGTCCACAACCCACGTAAATGTACTGATCTCGACAAGCTACCCTTCGGATTAACTTGGGTTCACTGTAATATATGATTGGCGTATTGTTCTGTCACACCTAGGTACACAGTGTTTGTTGTTCTGTTCTACCGGCAGCAGCCGCCACTCACCCAATGTTAATTGAAAACAGTGTTTGTTGTCGTACTCCTCACCAAGTCAACAATCTAGTCAAACCAAATTCTAATTCGTATTTGTTCTCATCACTGTAAAATTTGTTAGTGATTAATAGCATTGCAGTACAGATGCTTTTGACTAAACTTTTCATAAAAGGGTCTCTCTAAACGAGCTTATTCGATATTATTACCAGAGTCTGAAGTAAACAGCGAACATGGGCAAACGTATTTCCGATATCGGAAAATTGACCAGCCGGAATTCACAACAGCTTGAAGACGTAACAGAAGGCCCATCCTTAATTCAGATTTAGACGAAATTGATTTACAAGCCACAATGTTGTTGAATGAAATGAAAATAAACTCACTAGTAATTCAACAGTAGTAGAATCGATCACAGTGTCTTTGATCAGTGCCAACCATGTGACGTTGATGCGCTGTATTAATAGTTACCTGTCCAGTTGATGCGCTATCGAACAGTTACCTGTTCGGTTGATGTGCTATCGAACAGTTACCTGTCCAGTTGATGTGCTATCGAACAGTTACCTGTCCAGTTGATGTGCTATCGAACAGTTACCTGTTCAGTTGATGTGCTATCGAACAGTTACCTGTTCAGTTAATGTGCTATCGAACAGTTACCTGTTCAGTTGATGTGCTATCGAACAGTTACCTGTTCAGTTGATGCGCTATCGAACAGTTACCTGTCCAGTTGATGTGCTATCGAACAGTTACCTGTCCCGTTGATGCGCTTTCGAACAGTTACCTGTCCAGCTGATGCGCTATCGAACAGTTACCTGTCCAGCTGATGCGCTATCGAACAGTTACCTGTCCAGTTGATGTGCCGTAGAAGCAGTTGTTTGCCCAGGTGATGAGCTGTATACACAAGTATGTCCACGTGAGGTGCTGCAGCGACCCAGGGATGCTTTAAGAAGCTACAGCGACCCAGTGATTTCATATAGACTGGGGGAAGTAGGTGACGATTAAAATATCCCTATCAAAAGTAGAGTAGTAGTGTTTGGACTTGGTAGGTGTGATTATTGTTTATTGTTTATAAACAAACCAATACATATCTGTGAAAACGTCCATTAAAGCTTTCCAAAAGGGTTATAGTCGACGTGTGGAGGAATTTCCAAATTTGACGCATCATGTCAGATGCAATCTCGTATTGTGACTTGTACTATATGTTCCCGTGTCTTGTTTTCAGGTGAACAATTGACTTTCCTTTGCATGTGTTTGTGACGGAACCGTACAATAGACTTATAATCGAGATTTCATATGCCAGTTTTATATATTCTTGTAGATTGGGAGACGAGAGTATTATGTGGGCGTTGTGTCTTTAGAAAACCAGGGGTATATGTCTTCATTCCGCATATGAACAGTTTTCTAGAAAGTGGCTTGAACATGTCAAGTTTTAATCTATCAGCTCCCAGAATAGAAAACAATGGTCATCGTGGATGTAATAAATATTTATTGACATTAATCACAACAATCTGTTGTATGTGTGTACAATGCCACTGGCCACACCGTGTGTTGGCATTAGCCATGCCGTGCTGGACATGACACGGGTGAATGGCTCTGACATGGAGTTGTGATGGTCTGTCAAGCTCCATTGCACACCTTGTTGGTAGGCATACAAACACTCCTGTCTATGTCAACATGGCGACGAGCTGAATACACTCAAGGCACAACAAACACAAAGAGTCTTTTGAAATGAGTAATTTGTTATATCCGGGTCTCGATATTGGCAATAATTGACAAATAGTTTAATAATTTAAACTAGATATGGTTTTAGAAATTATTTATTAATATTTCTTTTTATGTGAGTTCGTTATATCCTGGGATGCCAGTGTAGGACTCAATATATATAATGGGATCCTAACAGACAGTAGTTGCCGGTGGTGTCCGTTATACGTGATTCTTATCTCGGTGGGGTACACCAGAAATAGGCTTCACACCTTGTACCCATGTCGGGAATCGAACCCGGGTTTTCGGCGTGACGAGCGAACACTTTAACCACTAGGCTACCCAACCGCCCCGTATTTGCCAGTGAAGTTGGATTATACTTTATTGTCATTAACATATGAAATCTTAACAAATTATAACTAATAATTATACGGATGGAGTTCGGCTGTACTTCACAAAGGGATTCCGAGTCATTTTAGGCCCTGAGTACCATTCCGAGTCATTTTAGGCCCTGAGTACCCTTCCGAGTCAGATTAGGCCCTGAGTACCCTTCCGAGTCAGATTAGGCCCCGAGTACCCTTCCAAGTCAGATTAGGCCCCGAGTTTTCTTCCGAGTCAGGTTAGGCCGTGAGTACCCTTCCAAGTCAGATTAGGCCCCGAGTATTCTTCCGAGTCAGGTTAAGCCCCGAGTACCCTTCCGAGTCAGGTTAGGCCCCGAGTACCCTTCCGAGTCAGGTTAGGCCCTGAGTACCCTTCCGAGACAGATTAGGCCCTGTACCCTTCCGAGTCAGATTAGGCCCCG